AACGCTGGGGCGGTCGGCCCCTGCTCAAACTTGGCCTGGCCGATGCAGGAGCAGGAGGACCCGCTTGCCGACAACTCCTCGGGCGGACGGCGAGGCCGAATTGTGGGGGGTCAAGGCACGGTTCCCGGCGACACCCGCGCAGCCAGGCAACGCAGACCGCCAGCGTGCCCAAGGTGGGAGCACCCCAGGAGACGTTGGTCCCATCAAGTCTGGGAGTCCCAGCCAATGGCGGGTTGGTGGGCGCGCGCCCAGAAGCCCAGGCGGGAGTGGACGAGTTCCTTTCCTATCGGCTTCGAGGCATGCCGCCAGCGGAGTGGACCCTCGGCCTGATCACGACTCCTGTGGGCTGCCCCACGGTAGTCTCGCCGTCTCGCCATCCTCAGCCGAAGGGGCCATCGAGCTCCAGTTTGGGGATTGGGTGGGGTCGGATGGGTCGGGGGGAATGCATTGGAAACCCATGTCAAGAAACACCCTGCTTGCCTCCAGGGTGCCCTGGGTTTCTTGGGCTTCGGTTCCGATGGTGTTGCTGTAGAGAGCGTGACGTTCCCGCACCAAGCATCCGTGGACCTCCTGGGGCCGCTTTCTTGTGGGAGGTTTCTTGTGGTTGAGCTCCCACTGTATCCACCCGAAGTGCGTGGCAGGCACTCTGGCTGGGGCTCGGCCGTGCTCAGAGGCACACACATACCCGCCAGGGCGGAGGGGGGCCTGGGGCGTGCTGCGGGCGGAGCTGGATGGGGCGATCCGGGCACTCAGCCACCCCACTGGCCCGAGTACGCTGAGGAGGGAGGGAGGGAGGGAGGGAGGGAGGGAGGGAGGCAGGCAGGGAGGGAGGGAGGGAGGGAGGAGGGAGGGAGGGAGGGAGGAGGAGGAGGAGGAGGAGGAGGAGGAGGAGGAGGAGGAGGAGGAGGAGGAGGAGGAGGAGCACGGGGAGGGGGAGGACGAGGAGGGGGAGGAGGAGGAGGTCGTCCACGGAGACGTGGAAGACCTTGCCATTCAAGTCTTGGCCCTCCACCGCTACATCGGCGAGTCGGAGAAAGGCCTTGCACCGCGGGATGACTGGCCCGTGTCCACGGAGACGAGGAAGTCCTGGCTCAGCAGAGTGAGTCGGGCCCCAGATGGCTGTGGCGGCCAGCCCGGAATGGCGCTCTCTGGCGCATTGCGCTGGGGATTTCGGGAAAGTCCCTCCATCTTCGGGGGACCTCGCCGGCCCCCAGCATTGGCGTCTTCTGTTGTGCCCGGCGCGTGATCCATGCGGCCTCGACGCGGATTTGGTGTGCATTCGGCGCGTATTCGACACGGATTCGACACGGATCCGATGAGGCCGACGTGGATTCGATACGGATTCGACGCGGATAGAGCCGCAACGGGACAGAGAAGGTCCCCTGAGGATGCAACATAAGGTAACCGATAGTGTTGTCGTGCTGTGGACCTTTTTCCAAAGGTGCCACCTCCAGCCAGACCGTTCAGAAAACGGCATGGGGAGAATTTTGGCGAGTCGCCGAAGGCAGGCAAGTCAACGTGACCAAGATGTGAAGTCCCGCGCCGTCCCTCAGGTCGAGGGCGGTCAATGGCCCCCCGAGCCCACTGGTTGGTCAATGGAGCTGCCGACCAGGCGGCTGAGCAGGAGGAGGAGGAGGAGGAGGAGGAGGAGGGAGAGAGGGATGAGAGATAGATGGAGGAAAAGGAACGAGCGGGAGGTCGTGGCAGTCTGTGATTGCGCGGTGTGGGTGCAGTTGTCTCGAAGTGAGTGCTCACATCCTCTTTGTGAGATGTGTGTGTGTGTGTTCCAGTTACAGTACTTGTTGCCTCCACGGCCTGGTGGCCACTCTAGACGCATGCACTCGCCCTTGGCTAGCTGATGAGATGAAACGGCAGGACGGCATTTATAGCAAAGGTACTTTGAACCAGCAGCGCCGGTATTCGTTCATGCTTCCTTGGCTTTTGTCAGAGACCCGCGTTTCGAAAGTTGGCCAGGATGGCACCTCGAACGGACCCCAGCGACTGATGTTGAGCGAAATCTTGCTGGGAGGAACACTGCACCCTGGCGATAGAAGACCCTAAACATCATAATTAGTCAAAGAGTACATCGCGCATGTGATCGTTTTCTTATTCGTTGTTTTGCCGATCGGCGTGGGCCCTCGCACCCCCTCCCTCCCCCACCCCACCATGCAGTAGATCTTGGCTGTTTTTCCCTGTTTTAAGCAGGTTGGGTCTCCCCCAGAGACAGACCTCCCCCCGCCCCCCCCCTACCCCGCTGTTACGCCCACTGCCGAAACGCCGAAAGAGAAAACGCTCGCCATACTGATGTACAGTGGAGACACCCATGCCAAGAAACACCCTGCTTGCCTCCAGGGTGCCCTGGATTTCTTGGGTTTCGATGATTTTGCGATGGAGAGCGTGACGTTCCAGCACCAAAGATCGATGTACGTCCTGGGTCTCAGGGTTGGGTTCCTTGCGGAAGGTTTCTTGTGGTCGGGCCTCCACTGTATAGCACATACGGGAGACCATTACGGGAGACCAAACGGGAGACCGTACGGGAGGCATCGGGAGGCCGTACGGGAGAGCAGGCGGGGCAACACACGGGATTTTGTACGGGACACCACACGGGAGACCATGTTTGCGATTAGGGTGCGCGCGTTTTCTTCGAGGCACTTCAGGCCTGACCCATAAGTGACGATGGTGAAGATGTGATGGTGATGGTGATGGTGATGGCGATGATGTTGATGAGGAGGATGATTAGGATGATGATGCTGGTGATGATGGTGGTGATGCTAATGGTGGTAATGATGATGTTGATGCTGATGGTGACGATGACGATGGTGATGATAATGATCATCATCATGACGATGATGATGTTGATGATGATCATGAGGATTATGATGATGGTGATGGTGATGATGATCATGATCATGCTAATAACGATGATGATGGGGATGGCTGTGGTGGCGCTCATCATGACAATCATGGCGATGATGTTGGTCGTGCTCATGACGATGATGATCATGATGACGATGATGATGAGGATGCGAATGATGATGATGATGATGTTGTTGTTGATGATGATGATGATGATGATCAGCATCATGATGATGATCATCATGATGATCATGATCATCATCATGATGATTATTATGGTTTGGGTGGTGGTGATGATGCTGACGACGTGATGTCGATGGTGACGATGATGCTGCTTATGTCGATGTTGATGGTGATTAGGATGATGGTGGTGATGATGCTGATGATGAGGCTGATGCTGATGATGATGATGATGCTGATGATGGTGGTGGTGGTTGTGAGCGTGCTGATGGTGATGCTGGTGAATGACGATGCGGATTCGGATGAGGATGATGGTGGTGGTGGTGGGTGATGATGATGCTGCTGATGGTGATGCAGATGATAGAACTACAAGGAGTATGAGAGGGAGGATGATGAGGAGGAGGAGCAGGATGAGGTAGAGGTGTAGGTGGGGGTGCAGGCGGAGGTGGAGGTGGATGTGGAAGTGGAGGGCGACGGGGACGAGGACGAGGACAAGGGCGAGGAGGAGGATGCTGATGATGGTGATGATGATGATGATGGTGGTGGTGGTGGCGGCGGTGGTGGTGATAATGATGGAGGATGCTGAGGAGGAGGAGGAGGAGGAGGAGGAGGAGGAGGAAGATGATGTGGATGATGTGGGTGATGTGGATGCGGATGTGGACGAGGAGGGGTCTAGTGGAAGTGCTTCAGCGGCAGGGCGTCTGGGACACCGACAGAGCCTTGCTGCTGACGGCCAGCGCCATCACCGCCGCCAGCCTGGCCTCGCTGGTTCTGTCCTGCCTTATGATCAGCATCGTCGTCGCGGCCACGAAGAAGGCCCGTCATATCAAGTGTCGCGGGGAGGAGGTCTGTCGTCTCTCCCTCCTCCGCCCCTCCTTCCCCGCTGTCCTTCATTCTTCTACAGTCAACCCGCATAGTAAGGATGGGCAACCTTCCCAAGGGTACCCTTACATCCTTGCCTCCTCGGTCCATCCTTGGCCACTTTCGTTGGCCGCGCCCCGCTCGAAAAGCCTCGCAATGTGCGTCCAAGGCCCTTGTATTCGTATCGCACATCCGTATGATACGGGCCGGCTGCATTTCCTCCCTCCTTCCATTTTCCGTCCTCCCCTCTGTCCCTCTTCGCTCCATTTTGGTTCAAGGACGTTTCCGTTCAAGGAACATTTCCGCTTTTACCAATGTCTGATCGAAGATCGACGGCAATCACTCTTCAGTGACCGCAGTCCCATACCATGGAAAAGACGGTGGAACAGCTGATTGTCGAGCGCTCTGATTGTACCGCCCGCGCCAACCCCAACAAGATGCATGTATCTTGCACTGGGGAGCTACACGGATATATCCAATGCAAGGATTGTGCGAGCGATGAGGCGCCGATGCATGCGCAAAAGAAGCGACAGCTAAGTCAAGGCGCACAAGTCCAGCATTCCCCTGGTAAGGAGACCTGGGAAGGAGGCTGGGAAAAGGGGCAAAGGGATTCGGGACCCATCAGGATACACCTCAGGACCGAGTTGAAACTGCGCTTCAGGAGCTCAAGGATATGATGGGAGGTCTGTCCACTAAGGTTGACGTGAGCCAATATCGCCAACTAGGCCAAAGTCGAGACCACTGCAACCAGACAGAAACTATTCTGACTTAGTATGAGCGTGGCAGGATTGTTGGGCGAGCTGCATACGACGAATACGGAGATGCAAACGACAAGAGAAGAAGTGGAACACATCAAAGGCTCTGGGGAAGGAGGGCACACGTACCCGAAACTCCAAAAAGCATAATGACATCAGGGACCGTCAGGTTATCTCGTTCGGCTTTGTGGAGACCACCGAGGCTAAGGTGATTATCCAGAATATCGAGATCGTGCACAAAACTTGATTGGAGGAAGGCATGGTGCGAAAGTAGATACTTTCAGCGGCCCCGCGAAACCAGGATTCATCACCTTCGGCAGTAGTGGGTACAAAGTTTCAGTCTATAAGCTAGCCTAGCAGGAGGATAAGAATCACCGCCCCGATGGGCTGGCTCTTTTTCCGAAGCAGCGCCACGATCGAAGAGAGGATTCGAGATGAGCTCGTCAGGCACACGAAGTTTCTCATCAAGGAAACGGGCAAGTTCAAGGACGACGGAGTCAACATCGCGTGGCCTTAATTCATGGTGGCCGTCAAAGGCAGGACGGTCGCATGGTTCGATGACGACGGCGAGTGGCACACCACCGCCACCGCCCCCGCGATTCATGCCTGAACCCCCCAGCCACCCCGGCCGGATTTCTTCTCTTTCTTCCGCCTGGGGGTCCACTTGCGCGGCGACCCGTCGAACCCAGGACCCCTGCCGGCGCGTGGACTTGGTTCCTTCTTCCGCGGGCGCATTGCCACCGGGCCCCCTGAACCCGTCTTGCTTGAGTGCGCCTAGTACTGGAGTAAAACTGGTATCATCGCGTGCTAGCGCGCAGCTGCTCCTAGAGCGCACGTGGTCCTGCGGTGCAGCTAGTCTCATCGCATTGCAATTGAGGTATTTGAGGAAACACTATAGACTCGTGACTAAGAAATACGGAACTATTGTGTGATCGCGACGTGGGAGTATGGAAGCATAAAACAATCGCTATCATATCAAACGGGAATACCGCTTTCGGGAATACGACACACAGTAGCGCGCAAATAATATTTGCGCAAGCCCCGAATACAGCTACTATTAGAGTGAAGCTGCATTACATTTGCAGTCTGGGCTCTCGCACTTACGCTGGGGTGGGCGGGGCCCCGCGCGCCGGCACCCACGCGGTTGAGACTTCCAGAAATGCAGGCAGGGGCAACCTGGGTGCCCGAACCCCTCGCAACAGTTTTTCCTTCCGCGGAAACAGGACCCCCTGGCTTCTTCGGCGCGCCGCGGGAATGCTTTGCTTCCAGATGGCCCCCCATGGGTCCTATGTTGGAATCGCCCGGGTGATCCGCCACCGCCGAAGAGGTGGGTGACAAGGTCGAGACATCCACGACGAAGTGGCAGCCCAAGATGGACCCGGGCCCCGCCGCGAAGTCCGAGTGATTGACCTGGGGTACTTACAATCAGACAGGGCATAAAAGGGCCTGCTGGGGCCATGATATTCATTTGTTTTTTCCCGCATCAGCGACGAGCAAATCGACGTCTACCTCAAGGGCTAGATGACGTTTCACCCGTGGAATACCACTCAGAATCCGGCACTGCGTGCGATTGGCAATTGGGGGGGCCACGCGAGATAGATCTCCGCTACAGGCACGCGCTGCGCCTTCTTATGCTTCGCAGTCGACAGATTCGCCGACAATGCCAGGTGGCCCCAGGGCGATGGACTCATTCCACGACTCTGGCACTCTCCCACCCCCAGCCCCCGACCCCCGCGGGCGCGTCTCCGACTTGCCGCCTCCGACCCAGACGTCGCAGAGGCTTCTGCGCGAGCGCGTCGTCGCGGCCACCCCGATATTCCACGTGGTCTTGGAGGGCGAGGACAGCTGCGCAGCGGCGCTTCTGGCGATGCCCCATCATGCACATTGCGCCGCGGGCGCGCTGCGTCGCCCCCGTCGCGGCGCCGGCAGCGAGAAATGCGATGGGCGTTCTTATGCTCACTCGTCAGGCTGATCGGCGCAGCGGCCCGGAGCCTCAAGGGGCAAGGGGAACGTCGCCCCGAATCGCTTCCCAACTCATGTTCGCGCCCCCCGGGCTCGCAAAAACCTGAGCGCGAGATTGAAGATTCTAGGCCCTCCAGATGATCTCGCCCCAGGCGCTGCGTTTCGCGGCATTCTCCATCGCCCGTGTCTGACGCTGGTCGGCATGGCGCCGATATTTGCACATCTGCCATGGGAATGTCTGGGGGCTCGACGGCGGCGACCGCGTCGATGAGCTCGCGCGCGAAGCTCGGGGTACGTCACGGGATCTCGTCTGCCGCGTCGGGACCTGGCGCGCAGAAGGGGCACTCGTATTCCGAGTCATCTGACGGCTCTGCTTTGCAGGCGCGTGGGAGTTCTTCTAGAGGGGCCGCAATCGCCGCGCTCCCGGGCGGGCTACATGCGTCGAGAATCTCATGCGGACTTCAGAAGAAGTGGCGCGCGTCGACACATCGCGCCGTGGAGTTCGATTCTCGTCAGTGGCTGCCTGCTTTTCACGCGGCGTCCACGGCGACTATCCCTGCCTGCGTGTCGTTCGGAGAGCTCTCTGGCAAGGCCAAATAGCTATGCGTGCGTTTCATGCTTGCCGCGGGCTCGATTGCGGAGGCCGGCAACAGCGCTGAAGGATGCGACAGGGGAACTTTGGGATTGCGCGGGCGCGGCGGGCGGGCGGCAACGATTGGCGATCGCGAGCGCGTTCTTCGATGAATGTCCAGAGGGCAGGTGCGCCTTCTGCAAAACAGGCGGGCGGCTGCGACAGCTGGATTATAGATTGCGCGATGTGGCCATGCGACCGCGCGACCTGTTTTCGTCGATCGTTGTGCCGCGTGCAGCTTGAATATGGGTTCTGACCATTCAGCGCCGCATGGGGATCCACTGACATGGAAGACGCAGGAACGCACGCGGAAAAGCAAGAAACACTCCTTGCCATCACGTTTTCCAAGCGACTGTTTCGACGGCGGCGTTTGGTGGCGCGATCCCAGACGACGCGGGGAAACAGTCGCCATTTGTGAAGCGAGTTGTCCGCGAAGCTGCCGTGGGGCCCCGGTGCGAGAGAACAGGTGCAGAGAGAGCATTGGGTGACCAAATTCGCATCGTGTTCGGGGCGAGGCGGAGTTCACGGCCGACGGAGGCCAGCAATAGGACCGATCTGCCCACGATGATCCGGGGGGTTTTTGCAGCCTTCGCCGGCCCAAGACCGAGACAGAGATCAACGTCGCCCTGGAAAAGTTCAGCGGCTCAAAAAAATATTTCGCGCGACATGGGCAGTCGAAGACAAACCCTCATCTCGAGCGTCGGAGAGCCAGAGCGGGATCGAGCGCGCATCGCGGCATAGCATCGCGGATAGTTTCGGTGACTTCGGCTCGCAGTTGCATTTTTCCAGCAGTTTTTGCGGAGTGGCAAACGCGACGAACTCTTCAATCGCATCTCCAACGCCGCATTTTGCATTGCAAGGGTTGCGCGCGCAAATCAACGAGCTCAAACCTTGTCGCGCCAAATATTCAGCCGGGGCCATCGCCGAGATGATAAAATCCGGACGAGGCCCTTACTGTGAACGCGCGCCGCTGGACTTGCGCGCCCAGATCGTCGCCTTCGAGGCGGCGCCGCCGCAGGCCCGGAAGGGGCCGATCCTCATTGTCGCTCATGATTCAGGCGATGTAGCCGCTGCAAAAAGCTCCCGCCCCATTGCGATCGCCCCGGCCTTGCGCGAGCTACTTGCCAAACTGCCGCGCTCGGCTGCGCCATGTGCTGGGCGCGCGCGTCGCTGAGGGTGTCAAGCTGGCGCGCCATGCACGCGCTCACAGTCGGGGTGTTGCAGGAGAAGCGTCGCGAACTCCAGCGGCCGCTGAGGATGGCCGCTCTTGATGTTCGGAAAGCCATGGGCCCAATCGATGAGGACATCTCATGGTCAGCGCCACAACGACAAGGCGCGTCGGGCGGGCACTTACTTGCCCGTCTGGGAAAACTCTGCGCTGGACATGCTGCAAGAGTACGCGCCGACAAATAAAAACAGTTCTCAGTGCACTGCGGCACCAGGCGGCCCCCGCAGTTCGTTATTGTTCAACGGGCTTTCGGAGGGCGCCATGCGCGTGGTCGAAGCTGGTTGGGGATTCGATGTTTTGTTGATCCGCGCACCTTCAGACCAGGTTCGGAATGCGCTGTAAGACGCTCGCGCCGCAGACCGGAAGAGAGATCTGGAGCTCCACTAAGAGAGGACGAAGATCTTCAGCAACGTCGCGGCGTGCATGGGTCGACCAAAAGCGGCTGCACCGAAGGTTGACGGCAGGGGCATCGAGATCATTATTTTCTCGAGCGCGGGGAAATATCTGGGGCGACCGATTCTGTTCAGCAGCACGTGCGAAGAGGAGATCGACCACATTATTCCGATGGCATGTAAAAGGGTTAATACCCACCGCGCAAAGCATACGAACAAACCGTACTCCCATCCCCGTCCGGCTCATTGAAAGCACCGCATATTCGACCATGCTGCGCGGCTGCGAGGCATGGGTTTTGACGAGCCTCTGGAGGACAAAGCGCGACGAACCCAGCGACGAATGCTCCGAATGATTGTCCGCGCGCCGAGGAGGAGGCTGAATGCAAACGAGAATTAGAGCAGGTCTGACGAGACGGCCAAAACAACCTGTTCTTCGAGCAACGACAGCAGTTGCAAGTTGCTTGGAGTCTTGGATCGATTCGGTGAGGCGGGCTACCCGCGACGCAGAGCAGCATTTGCAACGTCTCGAGATTCTCGATCAAATCTCTGCACACCGGTCTTCGGGTTTGGAATTGGTGGCGTCGATTGTAGAGTTCGGTAAACTTGTGGGAGATTTGGGTTTTGCAGCGGACACCTTCTCAACCGCGCTATCGGCGTCGTCGCGGGAGACAACGAGAACGTTGGTCAGACGCCGTGGGCGATGATTGCTTCATCTGGGGGCCGGGGCCCCGCCGCGCCGCCTTGCACAGGGGCGGATTCCCGGATCCGTTGGCTGCGTGCTCTCTTTCCCTCTTCGCTCCTTCCTTCTCCCTCCTCCTTCCCAGTCACGTCCTCCCTTTTGTTCCCCTGGTGCAGGGTAGCCGGGCTTTGGCTTGGCTCGGTCCCACCTTCCTTTTGCCCCCCTTCTCGTCCTCGTCCTCCTCCTTCTCCTCCTCCTCGTCCTCCTCCTCCTCCTCCTCCTCCTCCTCCTCCTCCTCCTCCTCCTCCTCCTCCTCCTCCTCCTCCCATCCATCCCCTCTCCTTCGCTGCTGTGCACCTCCTCCCCTCCCTCCTCTTCTTCCATGCGCGATTTCACATTATGGATACTACTTTTCTCTGCAGAAGAGATTCTGCCCTTTCCGCATACTGTGTTTGACACATTCCACACGTATTTCCATAATCCGACTGCTTTGGGTGTTTCGAATGTGTGTTCCCGTGCAGCGTGCGCCTCGTTTTCGCCTCGGCGCCGTGCTTCCGTCGTTCAGAACGGCGCTGTCGCCCCAGTTTTTTTGGATCCGATTTGTTCACCGTTGTCGCCCACCTCATTTCCCTCCGCCTTCCTCTGGTCCTCCTGCTCCTTCCATACCGTCCACCCCAGTTCCTGCATGTTCCTGCTGCTGCTGCTGCTGCTGGTGTTCGTCTTGGTCCTCCTTCCTCATCCCTTCCTCCTCCTCCTCCTCCTCCTCCTCCTCCTCCTCGTCATCATCATCATCATCATCATCATCATCATCATCATCATCATCATCATCATCAACATCAACATCAACATCAACATCAACATCAACATCAACATCAACATCCTCCTCCTCACCCTTTTCCTCCTGCTCATCCTCCCGCTTGCCCGCCTCCTCCTCCTCCTCCTCCTCCTCCTCCTCCCCCTCCTCCTCCTCATCCTCCTGTGTACGCAGCTCCCTTTTTCCAGTTGCGCATACCACGACGGGGCCATTTTGGGAAAGATCCAAGTAGGTTATGGCATGCGTCCGTGGATAGAGAACACGCAGCATTAGCTTCGCGACTCATGCCTGAACCCCCCAACCCCCTGGCGCGCGAGTTGCCATCGGAACCCCTGAACCCCTCCGACTACCGTACAACTAGTATTTGAGTACGATTGGTACTATGATGTATTAGCGCGCAGTTGCTCCTAGAGAGCATATTGTCCTTTCGTGCAAGTATTAGAGTGCCGTGCAAGTATTATTGTGCCAGTACAACTCCTTGGCGCAACTCCGTAGTGCAACTCCTTAGTACAATGCCCTAGTACAACTCCCTGGAGCAAGTAGCACTAGCACAACTCCGTAGTGCAACTCCCTAGTACACCCCCTAGTATTAGTACAACTCCTCAGTACAACTCCCCATTGCAACTCCCTAGTGAAATTCCATTCGTGCAACTCCCTGTGCAACTCCCTGGTACTAGTCCAACTCCCTAGTACAACTCCCAGTATGACTCCCTGGTACAACTCCTTATTACTAGCACAACTCCCTAGTGCAACCACTATTAGAGTGTTGCTGCATTGCACCTTCAATCTGAGCTCTCACGCTTTTCCTCCTCTGGTTGCGTTGGGGGGGGGGGACCCCTCGCGCGGGCACCCCCGCGGCTGAGAATTCATTCGTCTTCTGAAATTTGAGGCGGGGGCAACCCCCGTGCTCGAACCCCTCGCCAGGGATTTTTTTCCTCCGCGGGAACCGGATCCCCTGGGTTCCTGGGCGCGCCCCAGAAGTTCTTTCCTTCGGATGGGCCCCCATGGGTCCTTCGTTGGAGTCGCGGGGCTGATCACGCAGCGCAGTGGGAAGGGATGGGAGGGAGGGACGAGATGTCGGACATGGCGCGAGCGCGCCTAGCCTGCCGCCCGTCCTTTTTGTTTCCCCTTTTGTTTTGTTCCCTCCGCGCCATCCTCCATTTTGCCCCCCTGCCCCCTTCCTCACCTCACCCGTCGCACCCTTCGCTCCTGGAAGGCAAAGGAGGGGCCCTTCCTCCTCCTCCTCCTCCTCCTCCTCCTCCTCCTCCTCCTCCTCCTCGTCCGCCTCCTCCTCCTCCTCCTCCTCCTCCTCGTCCGCCTCCACCTCCTCCTCCTCCTCCTCCTCCTCCTCCTCCTCCTCTTCCTCCTCCTCCTCCTCTTCCTCCACTCCGCAGCGCTCCGCATCTGCGCTCCCCTCCTCCCACTTTCTTCTGCTCTTCCGCTTGGTCGGCCGCAGTGCAGTGCATGCATGCGTTGCTCGGCTTGTACTATTCATCTCATATCCTTCTCTCTCTCTCTTTCTCTCTCTCTCTCTGCCTCTCTCTCTCTCTCTTTTTTGTTCTCTCTCTCTCTCTCTCTCTCCCACCGCACCCCGTCATAACTGTCCTCCTCTCCGCCGGCAGGGTTCCGCACCTGGGAAATCAGCGCTTCAACCCGGGAATCTGGGAGCGCTACCATCTTGGGAAACGCGCGTGCCTGACCCCTGAAACGCTTGGGACGCGTCAAGATCAACCTTGGACACGTGAAGACCGTACCCTGGGAACGTGAGGCCCGTACTTTGGAAAGGCCACCGCCCGTACGTGGGAAGCGCTCGCGCGTGACGCCGGAAGCGCAAGCGCCGCGAAAGGCAATCGCACGAGTGAGCGACTCAGGGCTCTCTGATCCATTCGAGGAGGAGGAGGAGGAGGAGGAGGAGGAGGAGGAGAAGGGGAGGGGTAGGAGGAGGAGGAGGAGGAGGAGGAGGAGGAGGAGGAGGAGAGGAGAATGAGGAGGAGGGAGGAGAGGAGGGGGAGGGGGAGAGGAGGAGGAGGAGGAGGAGGGATGAGAGGAGGAGGAGAAGGAGGAGGAGGAGACGGAGGAGGAGGAGGAGGAGGAGGCGGAGGAGGAGGGAGGAAGGCGGAGGCGGAGGAGGAGGAGGAGGAGGAGGAGCGAGGAGGAGCCACTGGGGACCACGTCCCCAGACCTGGGCGAGCCTCGGCCAAGCAGAAGAAGGGAGGGGCCAGACTCCCCTTGCAGTGCTGCCCTGGCCGTGCCACAGGGGTCCCTTGCGGGCACAGATGGCGGCCTCGGGACATGCGAACAAGACTCTGCTGCCCGAGGAGGAGGAGGAGGAGGAGGAGGAGGAGGAGGAGGAGGAGGAGGAGGAGTTCTTGAAGTTTGCCTAACGTCATAAAGGGGGAGGGGCCCCTTTGGGAGGGTGTCGACCCCGACAACATCTCCGCGCCCATCGCCGGCATGCTCGGGGACTTCTGCACCCTCGGCGTGGTGGTGCGCCGGTGGCCTCCTTGCGCGGGGCTTCGCGCGCGTCCCTCTCCTGCCCTCCTCCCCGATTGAAGGGCGCCTAACTTCGCGCTTCGCGCTGCGGGAAGCGCGAAGCGCGAATACAGTGGGGGACCATGAAACCCTGCGTGTCGTCAGGCTTCCCTGGGTTTCTTTGGCTGGCGTTCGGCGCGGAAGGTGCCGCAATCTCGAAGAGACTGCAAATGCTAGGGCACCCTGGGTTTATTGGGCGTCGGTCAGTTTCGGGGCGCTCGCCCGAACCTCCAAGAAACTTCCGGGCATTCGGGGTACCTTGGGTTTCTTCGCTTGCAGCCGAAGTGCAAGAAACCCAACCCTGGACCAAGAAACCTCGGCGGATTTCAGGGTTGGGTTACTTGCGGCTTGCGGTGGGTTTCTTGCGCATCGACCCCCACTGTCGCTTCCCGCTCTCGCGCCGCCCCCCGAGGGAGAGGAGGAGGACGCCGAGGAATCGGAGCCGAACCGAAGCGCGAAGCGCGAACGACTTCGCGCCCTCGAGGGCGCCCTTGGAGAGATGGCGAGGGAGGGTCGGAGGGACGGTAAGGGAGGGAGGCGAGGGATGGCCAGAGGTAGGGAGGGAGGCGAGGGAGGGCCGGAGGTAGGGAGGGAGGTGAGGGAAGGACGGAGGAGGCGAGGGAGGGAGGGCTAGGAGGAGGTGGCGAGGGAGGGGTACGGAGGGAGGCGAGGAGGGGCACGGCCGTGCGACACGTGCGAGGTGCCGCCCATGGGGGGACCAGTGCGGGGCCCCTCGGCAGAGCTCCCTTTGTCGGGCCGGCAGAGCGCATGCGGGGTGCTTCGAGGGAGGGCGGGAGGAGGGGGAGGAGAGGAGGAGGAGGGAGGAGGAGGGGGAGGGGGAGGAGGAGAGGGGGAGGAGGGAGGGAGGAGAGAGGGACGGGAGGGAGGAGGGGAGGGAGGGAGGGAGGGAGGGAGGGAGGGAGGGGAGGAGGGAGGGGAGGGAGGAGGGAGGGAGGGAGGGAGGAGGAGGAGGAGGAGGAGGAGGAGGAGGAGGAGGAGGAGGAGGAGGAGGAGGAGGGGGGGGAAGAGGAGGGGAGGGAGGGGGCATACTGGCCTGCCGATGTCCGCAGATTCGACGTTTCCCGACTCGGCCGCAGATTTCCGCCGATCCGATTCACTTCGATCGCCGATCCGACTTATCGATTCGATTATGGACTCTCTTGTTACAGGCGCAAAACCCATAACAGCCGAGGCCGACACTGCACTTGGCAGGCAGAGGAGGTGCTCAAGTCAGATGTTCTGCGTGATGGTTTCTCAATTGTTGCCGACGCCTGTAGCAGCGAGTGGGCGAACGGATGTGCTTAGCATCCATGACTTGCACGAAGAGCTAGTGATCATGCGAAGGTACTTGTGGCAATGTTCTACTGGTCGCTGCACGCGAAGGCCAGGCTCCCTTCTCTGTCGGGGCGGGGCTGTATGAGCCATGAGAAATCTGCGGGAAGGACGTCAGCTCTGAGGAGGACAAAGACGAGAAGAAGACGACGAAGAGGAGAACGAGCAGGCGGAACACATAGGGCCAGCAAGATGAAGGCGACTGGGAAGAGAATGATGAACGTGAGCATGAAGAGAGATAATAAGTGAAAGAAGGTTAGGAATAAACACAAGCGCGCCGAGTTCGCTGCATATCTGCATATATCTGCGCCTTGCGTGCTAGATATTCCGGAATGAGCTCTTGCATTAAAAGGGGTCGTCGCGGAGGTTGCAATCATTTTGTGAAAGTTGGCCGGTGAGTCGGTAGGCGGCCAGATTCCCAGGTTCTGGTTTGAAGGGGTCGTCGCGGAGGTTGCAAGGGTTTGGCTGATTTTGGAAGGCGGCCAGGTTCGACGGTTTGGGGCTCCAGGTGACTAGGTTCTTGGTTCTAGCTTTTGGCATTCTTGGAATTTGGGTTGCGGCCAGGCTCCTTGCGCCTCGAGAGTGTAAGCATATTAGATCGGACAAGGCAATGAGTAGAGCGTGGAGCGTCGATCGCAATGAGAGTGTAGAACATACAGAGTGAGAGTAGCGAGAAACGAGAAGAGTGTATAGAGTGTATAGGACCAGAGTGCAGAAAACAGAGTTTAGAGTAGATGGCAGATAATAGAGAGTAAACAAGCACGGAGATATCTTTCTG